GAATTGCACAGATTGGAGTGGTGAATGATTCTGCACGCGTGCTCGTGTTGTATATCTTGGTAAACAAATGGCAAAATGTGTCCCTCACGTCGAGGCATGATTTAAGTAAATGGGGACACTTAGAGTCAGCAAAGCAGCTATTGAGCATCTTCATAAATTTTTCACCATTCTTCAGGGGATGTGTGAGAGAGCGTGCACACTGTTGCATCAGCTAGACGAGCCCGTTTATCTTTGCAAAGACATCAGAGTGCCTGCAGCTCGAGGGAAAATCAGTGGGCTACACCGCCGATGAGGAGATACTTGTCTGTGTGCATGTAATGTGCTTGTACACAGAAGAAAGAAAAATATGTTGGATTTGTGTGCACTTCATTTAACCAATCGGGCTCAGAGTGGTCAGAGGCTGTGCACTCACACCATCTAGTGGCATTAAGGGCTTGCAAATGTGCTCAGACAACAGCATATGTTCACTATGTGTGTGCAGAATGGTGTGAAAAAAAATATCAAAATATAACTGCACATATTTTCACACATATTTTTTCTAAGAAGCATTACAGACACAATAAAAGTTTGTCAAAAATCTAAAGAAAAAAAGCAAAAACAAACATTCATAGGGGAGGGAAGAGACTCAAAGACAAGTGTTGAGCCATGGAAAAATGGAGCTGGAGACAGAGAAAGGGATCAAAGGATGAGCACTGCGAAGATGCAGGAATCGGTTGTAGTCCTCCACCTTAGGAAGAGCAGGCTCAATAAGATTGATTTTGATTGACAGGTGGGGACCATTAATCCCCTGTGCTTTTCACTCTTCATCCCCCCAAACAGACACACACACACATTCTTGGACATCCCTACCAATCTACTTAAACTCTGCAAAAGGTTGTGTGTTCTCTTTGCATTTACTCATCCTCTCCCTTGCCACATTGATCATCCCTAGGCGCTCTGAGCCGTCAGGGTCCTCTGAATGGAGACCTGCCATGTAATATATAGAGGAGAGAGATGAAAGGCAGAGGTGTATGAAGGAGCAGGTCATCAATATTCAACACTCTCTCTCTCTTTGAAATTTAAATTTCCTCCACCAATAAACTCTAATCATGTATTTGCATGCCGGGCAATGAGACGTAAAGACATAATTACATGATATTGATGCAATGTTTACAACACAAACACTTCTGCAGTCCCGTTAGCTCCTGATGGTTCAGATTTAAAAGCTGCCCTCCTTGTTGCATCACTGTTAACACAGCTGTCTCCAGTCGCCACACGGTATTTCCATAAATTCCCCTCACTCCCCGAGCTATTTGTAGGGTGACGCTCAGAGAGCGACTAAAACAAGAATCCTTTGTTTCCAATATCCATCAGTCAGACAAACTGAGAGGCCGTGTCCACAAACTGTCAGCGCTGAGTGCAGTTAAGAATGCCGACCACAATCTGGAGTCTCTGTCCCTGACAGGCGGTTTGTCTGGGATGAGAGGAGACATGGGAATGGAGATGCATACTCACACACACATCTACACGGCCCTCCAGTATTTATAACCCTCCTGACAAATATGTACAAAAGCCCTTGTAGTAAATTTATCTTACACTGCAAAATCTCACCCTGTTTTTTTTATTATTTTTTTTTATTAAAATCAAACATTTTATTTGTGCACATTTACATGGTGGAGGCAAAAATACATTTGTTTTCCCTCACAAAATAATTTTTTTGGTTTATAAATCCTTTTTTCAATCATTTTCTGTTTATAAATGCGTACACATTATGTTTGTTTTAGAAATTAGAAAGATTTTATTTAAAAAATTCTATTGAAAATGAGGCCTTCCTATATAATACAGATTCATTACACACTATGGTGTTTTCTAACAGTTCATTTGAAGATGAAGGCTTACAGCCAATTAAAACCCAGAATTCCTTTTATCTGTTATCCAGCATGTGTAAAGTGTGGGGGCTTTTTAAGGCCATCTACCATAATTCAAAAAATTTTACTTTCCATCTGCAGGTGATGCAGACAGTTCCTAATTTAAAAAAATTAGGGTTGCAGGAACCTTTAAAAACCTAAAAAAAAAAAAAAAAAAGCCATATTTCACCACCAGGATGTTATTAGCAAATTATTTTTCTTTCCATGCTGGTGCATTGGGTTGCTCATTTGAAGGTTAATGTCATTTATTGGAGATTCTGATATTTTCTTGTTTATTTCCTCTGAAAATGAACAGCCCTCATTAAATTGAGTCAAAAGACCCTTTTTCCCGCTTTTCATCGATCACAGCATAACATTTTCAACTGATGTGGATCCTTTCAGAAAATATGTAAAGGTAAAATGCTCTAACAATAGAAAATGTCAGGTACACACAAAGCATTGTCTATTATTCCATAACTCTGTTTTCTTTTACTCTAGTTTGAAGTGTGGCATAAAATATAACACAGCATAAAAAAGTGAAACATTTTCAAAGATTTTCTGTCTTTAGAAAATGATGTATTATGTATTCGTATAGGTTTTGCTGCCTGGCAGTGCATTGAACATCATTAGTCCACGAGGCAGTAGAAGCTTTGGACAGCACTGACTTTCACATCATGAGGATGATGGCAGATGGTTGTCAATAACATCCTCCACAAGGGTAGATTATTGTAAAGAGGATATTCAGCTGCAGCTTGTCCTTAGGTTATGCTTGCAGAGTTCTTTGCAGCATTGCTGAGCCTGAGACCAGGCATCTCAGTAAAGGAGAAGAAATGGACTGTTAATCTATGGTCCAAAGTCCTGTTCTCAGATTGAAATACATTTTGAATTTCATTTGATGAACGCTTCTTGAAGGGACAGTGCGTGATTCCCACAATGATTTTCAGAGCGATGGCATCCTCTCCTGTTGGCCCACTTTGTTTCATCAAGTCCAAGGTCAGTAGAAGATATTTTGGAGCAGTCCATGCATCTTTCTGCCAACAAGCTCTATGGAGATTTTGATTTCTTTTTCCAGCAGGACTGGAGACCCGCCATATCAGCAGACAGCAATACCAGCGTTAATGACCATGGAATCACTGGTCGGTTCTGTCCAATAAATAAGCATGACCTGAACCTCATAGAGGACTGTCAAAATAATGATCAGACACCAGACCAGAGAATTCAGCGTGTGTGAGCTGTGATTGTCACTCCATCAGACGCTCCTCTGGCTGTGATTGGTTGTTTTGACTCGTCC